ATTACTTAATGAATACAGGAACAGTTCGTAAAATCACTTAGTCGCAGTCACTTCCTATATCTACAATTAAGAAGTCGGTTAAACAGCAATGTTTTTGCTCTTGCTTAATTGCGGCGAGATTTGCGTCCCTTTCGAGCTGCAATGCCGACTGTTTATAATCTCGTCTATGCTCTGTTTCAATTCTTCCATTTCCAAAATGTCCAGTGGCAGTGACGTTTGCGTCGCCATTTCTCGAGCGTTGTCCCGAGTCTGTACATCCGGTTGTTTGAGTCGCGTCACTTCTGGACAACACGAGTTCAAGCTGGACGCTAAATTACCCATTCCTGCCTTCTTATACGCTTCAATGATATCGCTATCGTTTTTCAACTTAATATCATTAGACTCCTGGAACAAGTGTTTCAAAATTGTTTCATCCTGGAGGAAATATTTACTCCTTCGGCCCTCTCTACTCCTCCTAACGCTCTCGTAACTTTTGGAACTTTTATTACTAGTTTTACTTTTGCTACGCTCGTGTGGCTCTTCAGGTTCTAGCATCTTCGTCTCCTCTTCCGGCTGACTGTCGTCGCTGTCGCTGTCTTGGTCCTCCTGGTCGTCTTTCTCAATGTTGCCACCTTCGATGTCTGTGTCCTTCCCCGTGTTCCCTTGATGCTGTTTCTCGCTACTGACTTCTTCGCTGTTGCTTTGCCCGGGGAACAAGAACGGCAAGAGTGTATTGACATTTTTCCCATCGAACAATTTGGGATTCAAGGCACGTTCATCCAGGCCAGTGATCGCCGATCGTCTTTTCATATTCGGCACCTGAATCGCTGGTATCCTTGAATCACCGCCTATGGTCAATGCTGACAATATTTGCGCGCCCAGCTGACTCTCTTGCGACGTGGTGCTGCCTCTCCTGAACAGTGGGCCTACTTTGCCCGACCTCGACTTCCTGAAGTCTCGGCGACGCTTGCCGCGCCGTCCACGCGAACTGCTCGCTACTTTTCGCGTTGTCTTCAGCTCGGCTATTTGCACTGATATCTGCGAATCCAAGGAATTCCTCCTGGATTCCACAGACACACGGCGCACGCTGAAACTGATCTCGGAGTCCACAGAGTTTCTTCGGTTGCTGGACACTGAACCGGTCCCACCGACCAGCGCGCATCTGCGCGTAACTAATTTCGGCAAAGCTGCAGCCCACGTCGAGCTGAAGTCTTGAGAAGCTACCGAATTTAAATCGAAGTTTAAGCCAACCGGATCGTCGTGAGTATTATGGAAACTTATGGACAGGCGACCGGCGTTGTTGAACGTCTTCCTTTTCGCGAACGCTTGAGCAATTACCTTGTGTTTCTTGAGTCTGATTGGTTCTTCCGTCTCGCAATTAAAAGTTCTGGAAGAATAGAATGAGAATATGTGATACGATACTTTGGAAGGTGGAATCGAACGAAGAACCGTACCGTCTAAGAAATCTAGCCCATGTGTCCACCGTTGAGCTTGTCCAAACCCATGAAGACATGAGAATCCCGGAGAAGAAAGGCAGAAGTAAATGTAGCTGCATTTTAGCAGCACTCGGTCGGACCTCCATTTTACATTCAGAGATGTCCAAGTATTTCGTCGTTATTGCACATCTGCAAATGAAGAATAATGTATTGTAAATATGTTGCATTTGATTTCAAATTTTCCAGAAGTTAAATACAGTGTTTAAACGATAATGGAATTCTTACATCATATAGTTTCTAAAGCTTTGACGCCACTGCCATGAATGTTGAAATTCGTAAATATGACAGTAGAATGTCACTACGACCGCAGCGAACGTGAAAATCGAAAAGAGACCCATACGCACAATCGTCTCGCGTATTTTAGCGCTAGCCCTTTCGGATATAATTTCTTGGCTAGTTATCTTTAATCGAATCAGAGTAATCAATCCTGCAAATATTACTTTATGAATACCATGTATGTTGAATTAATAAGGTTTAAGTTGCGAGCACTTATTAAAGAAATACTTACAGACAAAAATCTTTAGGAATGCATATAAAAACATATCTCATTACTTTGATTATATAACACAGAAAACTTATACAGACAAAAGTGGATCTAAAGCATACCTCTGGATAAAAAATATCCGCCGACCATTAAAACAATCAACACGGGACCAAGCAAAAACCAGGCTCTGATTGCGTGATTAGCGTAGCCGACGAAACAAATACCGGTTACGCTGTTTCCATCAATTTCTCCTAACGCCATGATGGTGACAGTTAAAACAAGTGGTAAGCACCAAGCAATCAAATGGAAATATGCGCCCTTTTTGTCGATTCTATCTTGAATTTTACCCAGCGCTTGAAAACTCATGTGCCAAGCATACGTCAGAATCACAAACCATACCATAGCTGCCATAAGAGAATAATAAACTAGGACAAATACGACGACGCACAGTAAGTTTTCTCCGCTGGAAATACATAAATGATATTGTACGCTCTCAGATTAATAATCTTAGAAGTTTACAAGATATTGTGTCATTACCTAGGTTCGCTCATTCTTAATGTGCCATCTTTACGGCATACAATCACTTCTCTGCTTCCAGACATAAATTGAGCAAGCCATCCGATACAAGATATCATAAAACAACAATTTATATAGAATATAACTAAAGCTGGATATTTATTTGCACTTCTCCAATCGATTAAAAATGTTATCTGAAATGAAAATAATATAGCCGACCGAATTATACATAGAATATTACTTATACTCACAACTGTAAACAGGTTGAATGAACCACAGATCCCTGCAGCCCAAGCAATAAAGGAATGAATCTGTTTGTGCTCATCCGGTGTAAACAAAGGGTCATTGCATTGCGTCCCACAACTTTCAACTCCTTCAAAAATTGCAAGTGCATTATCTGTTGGAACCAGAGGCTTCAAACACTTGCCTGAAATATTAAATTTCAGCTCTCTAATATCGTTTTTGCATAATCTTGGAAACAATTCCGTGTTTTCACATTTGATAAAGCTGGGCCATATCGTTTGGTTGAATACAATTCTGCAGGGTCCTGAAATGATCTTGCACATTTCTTGAGATGGCAAGTCTACTGTATCATTGATACATTTTGGCATGAATATTGAGCATAATAATGGTTGAACAACTGCCCAGCACTTTGGTATATGTCTTAATGCTTGTAATATATGCAATCTTTCCTGTGAAACAAAGTGATACAAATATAATATATAAATATAGATCAAAAGATATTATCTTAATCAATTATAAATCATTGTGAAAGTTTACTTCAGAATGTTGCAGAAAAATCTAACTGTAAATCCTATGGCTATAGAAATTGCAAGAGTAATAGAACCAGGACAGGAAATACCTGAGGTGATTTTAAATAGGGTTTCTGTATACCTGAGCCACAGGTATATGGGTGCAAAGGGAAAATACATTTTTACTACTACAAATTTACCTCTCAAACTCTTAGATAATAGTACAATTGAATACAATATGTGTTTCTAATGTACCTCTATCATGTCTTGGGTCATGTGTTCGGGTATCAAATCCAATGTGGTCGTGGCATATGATAATCTTGTGCCCATACATGTGCTCTTCTCCAATTCCACACATTTAGCTGGTCTTCGACAATTCAAAGGATCAGATGGTAACTCTCTTATTGGATATCTCTCCAATAAGTAGCTGGAATCCTTAATCCTGTGTCTGGGACTTAATTCCAGGCTGTTCCATGTTTTGTTTTCATTGTTGGAATTCCCAGAGAAACCGTGCGTCAATTCCGACGACACTCGGTGAAACATGAAGAAGCAACAGATCACCAGAAGTGTCATCTAAAAAAGGAAAAAAATTTCACCTTGTTCTTTTTGTTTTTTTTCTCCTTTTTTTTTTAATTATAATGTTAGGGAACTACTGAAGCCCTATTAGCGTGCAGTAATTCATTATTCGGTCCCGGCACGTTATCGGCCCGATTAAAAACAAAACGTCACGTGTACGGCGCACAGATAAACAACGAAAGTGTTTCCCGAATAAAAATAGTACCTTTGGACTCTTTGTTCAAGACCAGACGCCGATTATATTCTGCCACGGAGAAAGCTCTCCGCTCCGTTCGAACAAAGCGTCTTGCATCTTCTACGCCCGCGACAGCCGCATCCAGCATACGAACGCTCGGACCACACACACGTTACGTTCGCTCGCAGGCCACCCACGACGAAGCCGACAGTCTCGCTCATACCTCTTTCCGGTGTTTGAATGCACAGCCGTAAACAGGTTCGCGAATAGTTCGTTGGCGGCGGAACCATCGAT